CATGTGCCATTACCACGAGGGCAGAAAATGAAAGAGCCAGCCATTCAGAAGCTCCAAACATACTATCGGATTGCCATAACAAGCAACAGAGGGAGTGTACGGGATATGTACACTGCAGTATGGGCTTCGTACTTCCACTCATGCTCTACTGACAATGCTGGCAGCCACAAGTTTTGCCCTGCAGGAACAGAGTCGTGGTGCAAACATCAACGTGCTGAAGCACTTGGTGAACCTGCATCACTCCGCACACCTCTCCTGACAAAAGCACAGGGATTGCCTGTTTTGCCCATTTATAAGCGCCTAACGGATGAGAAGCTCCTTGCTCGATGCATCAAAGGGAAAACCCAGAACGCATCGAAATCCCTGAACAGCAAAATTTGGCTACTTTGTCCCAAGACTAAGTTCGTCTCCCGAACGGTTGTCGAGACTGCCGCAGCTATGGCAATCCTGTGGTTCAACAAGGGTCATGCTACTTTCGAGCACATCCTGGAAGAGCTCAACATACTGCTATCTAGAGATCAAGTTACTTTCAGGGATTCCCGCGATGCGAGGCGCATCAAGAGAATGCCCGAGCGTCTGACAGCAGAAGCAAAGGCCCACCGTCGTCGGGGAGTGAAAAGGGCACAGCTAGAAGAGAGTGCTCGCAAGGACCGTGAGAGCACAACCTATGCTGCAGGACAGTTCTAGTAACTTGCAGTGCTTTTCAAAGTTCTGTTGAACATTATGGCCAAAGATTATGCATTTCTAACAACTCTGTGATAAAAAAAAAAAGGTTTCAAACTTTCAAATGCGTTTTTCTTCTTTTGCAGTTTTGTGTGATCTGTGCTTTTTATACACGCTAGTTCATACACTTAGAATTGTCATACCTCTATGAAATTTTGTACATAGCATGATGAAGGCCCATAGAGAGCCAGTATCTATTCAGATTGTCAGGGCTGCTTGATTATGTTTTTCAAAAATTACATAACATTGAAAGCCCTTGGCAACTAGAGCCATAGTCAATTTTTCTATTTTATTATTGTATTTCACCTTTTTACACACAAAGTTTATATAGCTTTTGCACTCTACAGTTCCAAAGGATCATAGTCAGCTATATCTGCATGCTTTATCTCAAATTTTTATAGGTCAGAATTGTTGCATAACAATGGCCATAATTTTGCAGTATCTGACCTGCAGAAAGAAAACCAAGCAATCTACATGAAAATAAATGACATATTTGAAAAGAGGAGAAAAAACTCTATTAGCATGCCAATTTGTGTTAAATTCAGACTCTTATTAAAGAAAATCGTTTTTCGAGTAGCATCTCCCCTTAAGTGTGTGTCACAAAAAGGAAGAGATGACAGAGCGCATGCGCGGTGCTGCGTAGACGACGATGGTGAAACAGAAACAGAAATGACATTTCAGCCCTGCTAAGGGGGTGTGATGAGTGTGGTGCACTTTTGAAGTGCGCACCTTTGAAAAGTGCTCATCACAAGAAGGAAGAGATGACAGAGTGCACGCGTGGTGCTGCGTAGACAACGATGGTAAAGACGTCGCGTGCAAGAGCACGATGATGCGTGGGGCGACGTGAACATATTACAACAGTAAAAAAGCCAATGGAAACCGACCACAAAGTTTTGACACACCCAATCAATACGCATCAAGTGGGCCGGTGTTCAAGCAAGATTCTGAGCCACAGAAGAGCTGCGGGAGCCGAAAAGGACTTGCCGAGCGGAAGGTTGTCACTGAATTTGGCGCTGAAGATGCGCATGGGGTTTCAGACTCAAGCCAAGAAGACTTCAACCGGCCAGGGCCTCCGGTCGCTGCATTCCAGCTCGAGAAGACCGTAGCCCTCCGGTCCTGAACTCCAGCGCAAGGCCTGCAAACTTTCCTACCGACAGGCAAGCAACATTCGTCGGGCTATGGACCCAAGCTCTGCTCTACGCTTCCTCCCTGGTTTATCGACGTGTTTCCAGTCGCCAGTGTTGCTTCGCTGCAAGCAACTAACTCGCGTTAACTATGTGCTCGTGTCCCGTCAAGCCTCTGCAAGTTGATGAGACTGAACTGGTATTTTTCCGTACTCCACCGCTCACCCGTACGCGAACTAAATTTTGTTTAATGCTTTGAACTTTCTTGTTGGGGTTAATAGAAGTGCTTCACTGCAGGCAGCGACCTTTTTGTGAAATGTGTATTTTTATAAAGACTGGTTTCGCTCGCTTTCATTCTTGATGAAATGTTTGTGTGCTGTTTCTGAAGCAAACGGCTTTATCCTTCATCAATACTCTCAGCTAGGCTTCAATTTAGAGAGCTCTTACTAACATAAAAAGAACCTGCTTTACTAGAGCCTTGTTAACAAAGAACAAAAACAGAACTGTTAGTTTGGCCCTACTTCGGGGAACTTTTTCACGAATATTATTTGTGAACAATACCTTTATAATAAGGCAAAACATCATTTTTGTTCTCATTTCAACGATTTGTCGGTGTTTACTATTTCCTGCCATGAGTTTTCGCAACCAGACAAGTTTCTATCGAACCTTGCACTTGGCTGTAATTCCAAATAATCACAACCATGGTGTAATTGTAACCTTTGTAATTGTAATTCTTTGTTTGCTTGTCTACTTTGCCCCATGTCACTTATTACAACAACATTGGCTGGACAAACAGACAGAACAAAGAAAAAAGGTCCTCCTTCTCTGTATCACTTTTTTTTTGTACTAGGATTTATGTGCTGTATTATGAATTGGTTATTTAGTTGTGTAGTGTTCTCCGAGTACTTCTCTGTAAACAGACGTACAGTAAGTAGCTTAACTCTTTCCTTACCACGGGAAAATTGGCCTATTTTTGTATGTTGCAGCTAGGAATTTTCTGTGCCGTCGCTACTAGATTTACAGTGCCACGCAATACATCAAAATAAAGAGGAATGAATGTACTTTTGAATGCTTTTTATTTTAAAACAATAAAGAAAATTTATTTGGTGGAAAAATTCATATACAAAAAAATGAAAAATATCAAAAAATTTATTTGAAAACGAAGCAATATCTCAGACAAAAATTTTTCTGAGAAATTTCGAAATATACAAAATGTTTAGTAATCACAGGGCAACATTATTTGTAAGAATCGTTAAAATTGACAAAGCTGTTTTTGAGTTACAAAAAAATTGCCTGATGCATAGCGAAAGAGTGAAGTTCTGAGTTAATTTTACGTGAGATTTTTTTTTTTAAGAAAAAAAAACTTTACAGCAAAATATTACATACCAAAATGCAAGTACTAAATGTAGGGTTCGAAAGGTAAATTTGACGGAAGAACTGGAAGATCTAAATAGGTAACAAAAATTGACAAACACAAATAATTAGATACGTTCACAACAAATGTCGTAACGATTTACTTATATCTTCCGGGTATAAAATTATGGAAAATTATGAGAGATGCAAAATATTTAAAACAGGATATTGGACTAGGATTGAAAAAATTAGTTATAGCTGAAGAACTTCTCGAGCTATAATTTGTTCACTCAGGGAGATCAGTGTGCCAGGCACCAAAACAGTTTCTTGTTGTGAAGCACAAATAGACATTGCAGGTGCGACAGAAAACGTTTGTCTTGTGTTGGGATTTGTTTTCTTGGTAGCACTTCTTACAGTTGCGGCGTATCTCCAATCGTTCAGGCTGGTGCTGTACAGCTGTGGGTGGCCGAATTGGGGTGGGAGGAATAGAAGCTGGTGCGGTGTCCTCTATCTGAAGAAGTTGTTATACGAGTTCTGTCCTAAAAGCCAGCTGATCGAAGCAAGACACCCTAGAAAGTTCAGGTATTTCTGGATTTTGGCTCCGATGTGCTTCAAGAAGAATGTAGCTGTTCACAGCTGCGATATCAATGCAGTGGAAGACCAATGTCTTCCAACCAGCTGATGTGCCAGCCGATGTGCCCGACTGCGGAGCGCCATGCCGAGGTCGATGCCCGGATCCTTCAGGAGTCGGAAGTCCACGCGTCTTTATGCTGGAGGCAGCACATCGCCCCCATATGAAGTAGACACGCTAGAAATAATAATAACAATATGTGGGACACATACAGAGCAAGTCAGCCAGCTCCAGAACACAACTAACAAAACAGAAGGTGAAAACCAAACATACCCGCGACTAACAGCTGACGTTCCTGGCTGATCTGATGAAATTTCTTCATCGGAGCTAAAATCCAATGTCACCACATCGTTGTCTGATTCCTCACTACTCGAGGAATTCAAAAGATCACTCGTCGAGGCGTCGGCATCGAGCGAAATCGCTTTTTTTCGAGCGCGCAGGGTTTCTGATGTTGACGGCATCGCGTGAATCACATGCGCTTCAACCTTTGAACGGGCGTGACCTTTAAAAATCACCGCCACGCGGTAAAAATGCGAACCGTACAGAAAAAGCAATTCTAGTGTGTGTACCATTGCCTAGATGGCGCTACAAGTCCGTAGGCATGGTGTTTTTTGAAAAATAGGGGCGCGAAATCATCGTTCACCGGTGAACAATGCCTAGTGGCGTGGTAAGGAAAGAGTTAATAGGCTAGTTTTTATTTGCGCACATTCAGACACTTTCAATGTCTTTGACACAGCGACGGAATGCCAGCTAAACCGTATTATATTTTTTGGGGCTCCTGCTGTTCGCATTTGTTGGCCATTGAATGTATCTGCAGTGAAATAGTAGTATTTGTAACACTTGCTGTGTCTGTGTCCTGTTGCAGACACAGTACCTTTGATTCGTGAGAGAAAAGATGATCATCTACTTTTCTTACATATGCACAGCAACTATTGAGTAATGCTGCCATACTCCAGTTCTTTGTAGAGTATCAGGGGCATAGCCAGGGGGTGGCACACCAGCCCTGTGTGCCCCCCCCTTAATTTTTCTCGCCATGGCATAGAGAGCGAAACATGACCAATTCAACAAGGTGCCCTCCCATAATCAAGACGCACCTTCCCCTCTTCCCCATCTGAAAAAAAAAAATCTGTCTATGCATCTGTAGTGTATCACACATAATTTCCATCTACTTGGTGTGCTGTCGATTTCTTTTGCAGGCCCCTTGTCTTGTGCGTCCTTGGAACCTTATTCACTGTCGTCTGTACGAGGCCGACTTCATTTCTGCCAGCAGTGCACCTATGTGACCCTGGACAAGTCAACTATGAGCAAGCACCTTCAGAAACACATGGGCGAACCTCCTTTCCAGTGCCACTTTTGTCCAGCTGCATTCATTCACAAGTCCAAGCTGGTGACTCATGTGCGCACCCACACAAGAGAGCAGTCTTTTTCCTGTGCCCGATGCAGTGCATCCTTTTTGCTGAAAGGCCACTTCATTGAGCATATGCGTACTCATACAGGAGAGCATCCTTTCTCCTGTGCGCACTGCAAGGCATCCTTTACGAAAAAAGACCACTATATCGTGCATATGCGCACTCACACAGGAGAGCGACCCTTTTCTTGTGTCCACTGTAAGTTATCTTTCGCACAGAAAAGCCACCTAAATAGGCACATGCACACTCACACAGGAGAGCGACCCTTTTCTTGTGTCCACTGTAAGGCATCTTTCGTGCAGAAAATCCACCTAAGTAAACACATGCGCACTCACACAGGAGAGCGACCCTTCTCTTGTGCCCACTGTAAGGCATCTTTCCTGCAAAAAAACCACCTAAATGAGCACATGCGCACTCACACAGGAGAGCGACCTTTTTCTTGTGTTCACTGTAAGGCATCTTTCGTGCAGAAAATCCACCTAAATAAGCACATGCGCACTCACACAGAAAAGCGACCCTTTTCATGTGTCCACTGTAAGGCATCTTTCTTGCGGAAAAGCCACTTAAATAGGCACATGCGCACTCACACAGGAGAGGGACCCTTCTCTTGTGTCCACTGTAAGGCATCTTTAGTGCGGAAAAGCCAGCTAAATAGGCACATGCGCACTCACACAGGAGAGCGACCCTTCTCTTGTGTCCACTGTAAGGCATCTTTCGTGCGGAAAAGCCACCTAAATACGCACATGCGCACTCACACAGGAGAGCGACCCTTCTCTTGTGTTCACTGTGAGGCATCTTTTGTGCAGAAAATCCACCTAAATAAGCACATTCGCACTCACACAGGAGAGCGACCCTTCTCTTGTGTCCACTGTAAGGCATCTTTCATACAGAAAATCCACCTAAATAATCATATGCACACTCATACAGGAGAGCATCCCTTGTCTTCTCTGTAAGGCATCTTTCGTGCAGAAAATCCACCTAAATAAGCACATGCGCACTCACACAGAAGAGCGACCCTTCTCTTCTTTCCACTGTAAGGCATCTTTTGCGCAGAAAAGCTACCTAAATAAGCACATGCACACTCACACAGGAGAGCTACCCTTTTCATGTGTCCACTGTAAGGCATCTTTCGTGCAGAAAAGCAACTTAAATAAGCACATGCGCACTCACACAGGAGAGGGACCCTTCTCTTGTGTCCACTGTAAGGCATCTTTCGTGCAGAAAAGCCACCTAAATAGGCACATGCGCACTCACACAGGAGAGCGACCCTTCTCTTGTGTCCACTGTAAGGCATCTTTCGTGCAGAAAAGCAACTTAAATAAGCACATGCGCACTCACACAGGAGAGGGACCCTTCTCTTGTGTCCACTGTAAGGCATCTTTCGTGCAGAAAAGCCACGTAAATAAGCACATGCACACTCACACAGGAGAGGGACCCTTCTCTTGTATCCGCTGTAAAGCATCTTTCGCGCAGAAAAGCCACCTAAATAAGCACATGCACACTCACACAGGAGAGGGACTCTTCTCTTGTGTCCACTGTAAGGCATCTTTCATACAGAAAATCCACCTAAATAATCACATGCACACTCATACAGGAGAGCATCCCTTGTGTTCACTGTAAGGCATCTTTCGTGAGGAAAAGCCACCTTAATAAGCATATGCGCACTCTCACAGGAGAGCGTCCCTTGTGTTCACTGTAAGGCATCTTTCGTGCAGAAAACCACCTAAGTAAGCACATGCACACTCGCACAGAAGAGCGACCCTTTTCTTGTGCCCACTGTGAGGCATCTTTCGAGCAGAAAAGCCACCTAAATAAGCACATGAGCACTCGCACAGGAAAGCGACCTTTCTCTTGTGTCCACTGCCGTGCATCCTTTTCTCTGAATTACTTCCTTGTGCACATGCGCATTTACACAGAAGAATGTCCCTTTTGCTGTGTACTCTGCAATGCATCCTTTTCATTTAAAGGCCCCCTCGTTCAACACACTCGGACTCACACAAGAGAACGTTGCTTCTCTTGTGTCCACTGAGATATGTGCTTTGGGAAGAAAACAAACCTTGTTAGATGCATTTGCATGTGCTCTTGGTAGCGTTCATTTTATTATCTCTACTGCATGCGTACTGAGTGAAAAAAAAAAAAAGAACCTTGTGAGACACATTTGCTTGCACACAGGAGAGGATTCATTTCTCTGTGTCCACTGCAATACATCTTCTTTTGTGACATGAAAATGCATTAGGTACATTCGCCTTCACACAGGAGATTGTCCCTACTCCTGTGCACTGCGATATATTTATTTCTATGAAAGACCACCTGATTGAGCACACGTGCATTCACACTAGAGAGTAGCTCTTTTCTTGTGTGTGTTGTAATGCATCCTTTAGTCGACAAAACAGCCTTGTGAGACACACACACACAAAAGATTGTACATTTTTTCATGTCCACTGCAATGCAAATTATTCTAGAAAACACCACGGCACAGCCTGAATGGGGCGGGGCCTGCATGATTTTCTTTATGGGCAGGTAAACATCATCCCTATCCGAAATTGATCATGGAACTGATCATCTGAACAATGTGAGCGTGCTATAGGTTTTCTGTAAATAAAAATTCAACCTTGTTGGGCTGTTGTCTTGTACGGTTTTCTGACCCTTTTTGTAGCAAAAAAGTGTAGGTGTAGATTGCTGTCAGCACTAGGTTAACTTCTGTAATGTAAACGAAATGAGCAGTTATGCCATGGGCACTCAGTCAGGGACCAAGCTAAGTTTGTGCAATTTCCACTTGTGTGAAAATGACTTGATCAGGACGCCCCGCCGCGGTGGTCTAGTGGCTAAGGTACTCGGCTGCTGACCCGCAGGTCGCGGGATCGAATCCCGGCTGCGACGACTACATTTCCGATGGAGGCGGAAATGTTGTAGGCCCATGTGCTCAGATTTGGGTGCACGTTAAAGAACCCCAGGTGGTCAAAATTGCCGGAGCCCTCCACTACGGCGTCTCTCATAATCATATGGTAGTTTTGGGACGTTAAACCCCACATATCAATCAACTTGATCAGGAAGTGCAATGCAAACAGTGCAAGGCGCTGCAGAGATGAAAAATTTTACCACAAAACATGCACCCTCACCTTAGCGGTACTCACTAAACAGACTCGTTTTGACAAATCGGTGCTCTCGATTGTCCCAGCCCCGATCATAATGGCAGAGGGGAGCACAGGAAAATGAAAATGTGGACGGTCCATTGTGGACTTACTCATGGCAAACAATATGTAAAGTAGACTAAAAGAACTGGACAGGGGAGCTGGAGTACTGTATTTACGCTCATGATATATGAACTTGCATGATTGGTGCACTCCCAACTTGGCCGTGATCACCGCATTTTCACCAGTTCCAAAAAACAAGAAAAAATACCTAGGCAAAGAAGGGATTCTTGATAGGAGGTGAGAGAGAGGGAAACAATTTTATTTTGGTAGGAGGTGAAAAGTGTGGTTGAGTGACGCAGTAGTATCTGTCTCTCAGGCGAGGACACCACAACCGCGACTCTTGGGATTGGGAAAAAAGGTAAGGAAGAAGGGAATTAGAGTGGAGTAGGTATGTTGGGGGCACGATTACAAAGCACTGGTAACACAAAAAGCTTAAATTCCTCGCCGTGAGTTCCAGGCTTAGTCGGTGAGCTTTAGAGGCGCTCGGTCAATTGCGCAACCTCCATGTAGTCCAGGACTGCACTCAGGGTGGAACGCGCACAATGCTCTGATCCTACAGGTTGCAGAATGTCATCCACTGTAGCAGATAACAGTGCCAAGTGCTTGAAGGAGCATAGGAGCGCTTCGTGGTGTACGGAGAGAAACGCCCTGGCAGGAGAATAATCATCTAACGTTTCAAGGTCCTGTAGTCGGCGGCATTTGTACCAACGCGACGGGTCATCGATTGCTTTTATTTTGCACGGACAGCATTATGAACACCAAACAAAAGCTGGACCATGCGAAAACGAAAGCGGAACCAAGCACAGTGCCCTAGCGGGGTTTTCTCAAATAGCCCAGATAATAGACTTTTTTTTTTTTTTTGTAGTTAAGATGGCAGCACCCATAATACGCGTAGTGTGTGTGCTGAACCGCCGTGGAGACGCTGCGTACCAGTCGTTCGTGTGCCGATTTTCTTAACTGTTTTCCGCGATAGTTATTATTCTTATCCTGGATAATTGACTTGGCCAGCCTACGTTTATGGTTCGCGCTTCCAAGAGCTGCTACAGGACGGAAAAGCTCGCTCATCGCCGTGTACGGCTGAAAAAGAATCTACAACCGGAACGATGTACCGCATCACAACTTCCCTCATGAAGAAAGACGAGCTACTCTGCGGATCCCTTCGGTTAGAGACAGTATACTTGAAACATTTGAACACCGCTGTTGGTTTGCTCGATACAATTTGGTGATAGCAATTCCAATCAGTGTTTATCATTTGTGTGCGTAATGGGAACTCCTTTAAAATCTGCTCTTCTAAAGACTGGCGTGGTGTCATCGCTGTACGTTGGTGAACAGAATGCACCGGGAGGAGCATTCTCGAAGAGCCCGAGAGATTAGGTAAGATTTCGAATATCTGAGCTTACTATGTGGCATGTGTTGACATTACAGAAAAACGATGCAATCCCAATAAAGAACGGTACGTGTAAGGCAAGGAAACATGGTCTCCCCAATGCTATTCACGACGTAGTTTATAGAAAGTTTTCGGGACCCGAGATCGGGAATGAGGTACTGAAGGGTACCTCATGGTAAACTGCGAATTACGACTTCCGATTACTGAACTGGACAAAAACGCGGAATATTATATCCAATAAATTAATGCGCAACCATCTCAGTAGGGAGACGTTGGAAGCTGTAAAGGAACACGTTTGCCGAGGAGCAGCTGCAGCTACGTCTTACCGGTACTTCACTACTGAGCAGAAACGTGTAGGCTTACAAAGAGAGGACGACGCAACGAGCAACGGGAGGGAAAACGACAGGTGTAACCTTGAGATATCGGAAGAGAGAAGGGCGGGTCGGTCAGCTAATGCGTGTGAAGGACATCGCAATTGAAATCTAAAACAAGGAATCGACACGGGCAGTGCACGTAGCATATAGGCAGGATATCCGCTGGTCACTAAGTGCAACTGACTGGTTTCCAAGTGAAAGCAAACACGGAGGGCAACGGAAAGCTAGGTAGCCAGATAAGATTGAAGGAATTTGCGGGTATGACATAGCATAGGACCGGGTTTAGAGGCCTTACCGGCTGTGGGCGTGGTCAGGCTCATGATAAGTGCATGTATGAAAAGTTCACCAGTACTGCCTTATGCAAATACCAAGAGCCGCTGTTTAGGTGTTTTTATTTTGCAATTAGCCAATCAGGACGCTGCAAAAGGCAGTGTGTGGGCGCCTTCCACAAAAAGATTGTGGGCATTCTAGCCATCCCCAAAGCAGTGTGCTGAAACTCTACAGCATCAGACTGGTGTTTTCTTTTAACTATACTTGTTACTCTAGAGTAAGTGGGAGTTGTTGATCAGCCAAAGACACGTATAGTACGCTAAACAGTGTTCTCTTCCAGTTCTCTTCTCCTGGAGGTGGCTATTGATCTGCTTTCAGAAAAGGGAGTACAGCTTTTCTCGAATCCATACATGAATGGAGCCGTAGTTTTCATTTATAGCCAGGACTAAAGGTGTCGCAGAGTTTCTGCTCAACGTTTCCTTCAAATGCAAATGGAAATGGCCAAGTGCAGTGAAACACGAGTGGTGCACGGGTTTACAACACTCCTTGCTTGAAATTTTCATATTGTTCCCAAGTTTCTTCAAACATGGCAGAGTACTTTTGTTTTGAAGTCACAACATGTGCTTTTGCCTCCATCTGCCAATTTGGAGCCTCTGATGTTTTAAGCGTTCCAGTAAATTTCTTCTGATCAGAACTGGTCAGAGTTATTCAATCTTACCAGTCACAAAACGGCGTTCCAAAACACACAGTAGACCTTATTTTGAGGGAACTAGCTGACTGTCGCGTTATCCTGGAGCCACAATGCAAATCAAAATAATGTCTTTGATGGCTGGTGTGCTGATGAACAGGTGACAGAACAATCTGCACATTTCTTACATGTGGGCCAATGGCGTGTCTGTATTTCGATGCATAGAGCCTACAGAAAGTTTGGCAACTTGTCTAATTGAACAACTCTAAAACTAGTGGTTACTTCTGCCTTCGTTCTTTACAATAATGTCAGGTTACATCATGCTCTTGTTTTGGTACTTCAACACCATGCCAGACTGTCCAGTTTTGTGCAGTAGCAAAATA